GGTTGAACAAAGGGTTACCATTTTACAGAAAGGTATCTTTACTGTTAATGCTCCCCAGTTTTTGGAGTAATCCCTCAGAGCAGAGGGAAGAGATCTGTCACATCCCTGTTGTCACTGCCTGGGAGTATGAGCGCTGCACATCTCATGGACTATTACTCTGCGTGGACAGTTCAGTTTAAAATGCTAATTTGACCCATACCAGCTATGCAAATGCATGAACACCATGTAACCATCCCCAACATTTCCAAACCTGGGTATCCTACTTTGTCCCAGGCAATCTTTGCAAATGTTTCACCGTCTTAAGAAGTGGAAAACATCTAATTGAAATTTCCCTTCCTGTAATTTCATCCTGTGGTTCTTATCTTATCCACCACGGACAGAGAGAATGGATTACACTGCCTTGAAGCACTCTTGTAATTACCTGCAGAAGGATCATGTGATCTCTCAGTAGTATCATCTCTAACTTAAAACAGTACTGGCTTTTGCTCAGCCTTTCCCATAAGTCCTGCTGCTTGTGTCAAGATGGGTCTACCTGCTGGATAAAGCAAAACCACAGAAGTCTATGTCCTCACTAGAGGTGAGCAGTGATTACTGGAGCTGCCTGTCACCAGTATGAGGAAAATGTTCTAGTTTCACAGACCACGTATTTGAACAGAAATTGAACTAGAAATACTTAGCTTCAAAAACCCACGTTCTTCTTTTGCCTCTGTCTGGTCTTAGGCAAACTGAATTGCAGTCCACAGCTCTTTCACTTGACAGACAAGTCTGTTTAACTTGTTTATCTTATCATATTGTGACCAATGTAATATGAAGTTAGAGACTGGGCAGATGTTGTAAAGTGTGATGGATGACAGGCTTCCACGTGGATAGATATTCTGTCTTTTTTATAACTGCATTAGAGGTCTACATGGAATCACTGAAATATGTACTGCCATTCAACACTTGCACTTTAGAGTGGAACTTTGCGTATTATCAATTTTCTTTAGCAATATTGGTCAACAGACTTTTAAACAAAGATTCCCAAAGAATTTTATCCACTTCCTAACTTAAAAGAAGACTTAGTTTACTACAGTTTTAAAACACTGAATTGTTAGAGATACCTATCTACAGTAACAATCACAGAGGCTGTCATTTCAGAGCATTTTCTGAAATATTAGTGAAGGTATATATTAAAAGACTGCAGCACTTCTTGGTTTTTCTGTTTTTTGAAAGAATGAGTCTCACATGGGTTAGCTGATAAAAAGAAATCGGTACTTTTTTGTAAACGGAGTGGGTGCTGATGTACTTCAGAGTACCCAGGTAAGCCAAGCCTACTTGTAAATGTTCTTCACACTGTGTTTTCACTCAGTTCATACCTGCCTACCTATAGTTTATTCAGGCTGCCACAGTTGCTCCTGCAGTACCAGGAATGCTGTGATGTGTCTCAGAGCCCTTGTTGTCTAATACTATTGGGATTGCTTTGAGGAGAACAGCAGCAGAACTTGTCTGTTCTGTTCCTGGTTTTCATCTTCTTAGACTATCAATTTATTTAACCAAGTTACATCCTGCTCAGCACGTTCAACCTGTGTTCACCATAGCTCTCTCAGAGGTAGATGAAGTCATCCAGGTTTCAGCTGCATCTCAGGATGCAGTTGGAAGGAGTGATGTGGTAAAGAGACCAAGCTAGCCACATGCGGAGGTAGCAAACAACTACTGCAACAGCTGCAGATTTCCAATGTGCAATTAATAGACCTACAACTTATTACCATAAACAACAGCAGTGCCTACTGAATTTTGGTAAAAAACATTGTAATACAGGGGTATTTCTCATCCTGCAGTACCAAGATAAGCAAGTTTTCTAGGGTGTCAGGAAAGAGCAATGAGGGCAGAAAAAGAAGTCTATAATCAGTACATTTCAAAGCAACTACAGGCAAAAGAAACTTTGAAAGAAGTTATTTCCTGCAGACTGAAAGAAGGAACTACCTTTACAGGTATGTGAAACAAGACTTTTTCTACAGGAAACAGATCTTTATCTAAGCATTGCATTAAGAAAAGTAGAAGGGAGAGTTGAGTTGTTGGAGTAGTTGATTCAGCCTTGCTCATAACTCTCATCCATTATTTTGGGGTCTTTTTGTAGATTAAAAACTCTCCAGAACTTACTTCCAAACTCAGGATATGAATTAGGGCAGAGGAGTTTGCTTACAAGAAAATGACTGGCTGTCTTTAAACCCAGGGAGGCCAAACAGGCAACACAGAGTTCCTTTCATTAATGCAGCCACTGGTATTTGTGCTACAGGCTGTGTGGGACAGTGTCATTAAGAAGTATTACTGGTATTACAACGAGACACAAAGAACAGAATGCCTAAAAATTGCATGTTTGCTGTGTGCTGCCATGGGTAGTTCTCCACTCAAATTAACTAGGCCTACATTAAATCAGCAGCACTCTCGTCTTGCACTGGGCATTGAAGGGGTCAGGCTTAGCTGAGGAACAGGTGTAACAGTGATGAGTGGGACAGACAGGGCTTCCCAGCAGCACAGGCGTCCCACGGCACAGCAGCAAGGCTGTGAGGGGATGTGCTTCTCTGAGAGCAGCCTCCTGGTATTCATCTTGGGTCCCAGGTGGGAAAGGGGGAAACAAGCCATCCAAGAACATATTAGCCTCTCCCACCCTGACAACATCCTTGCATCTTCTCTGGGCTGGAAAAGGCATGGCATAGCAAGGTAGGAATGAATGAACGTTGCTTTCCCCAGGAAGATGTCTTGTGTTAGAATTCATCTTCCTCTGCCAAATCTGATGTGATGAGCAAACATGATTTCAGAATAAAAGTGCAACCTGTGTTTGGCCAAATCCTGGAGAAACACTCACTTTGCACCTCCAAAAGTGAGTTTATTATATACCGAAAGAAAGGCAAATAACTAACAGTAACTAACAGCAATAGAGAGGTGTAACCTAAGAAAGAGGAAGAGGATCTGACTTTGCCCCCCCCCCCCCCCCCCATTCTTTTTCAGCTTTAATTTTACAGGGGAAAATGTTAATTGAGATAATATCTGTGAAGTCAAAAGTCAACCCAGCTGGGTCTTCCCCATGTAAACCTTTATCTGCATAATCATGTCAACTCTTTTCCTGCACAGACCTCACAGTTCTCAGCTGCATTGCGTTTGAAATACCCACAGTGGGAGAAGCCACCATATGTTGCCCCATCTGTGAAAATGTGCAAGCAGAGATTGTTTTTTTCTTGTATAATTAACTAAAAGGGGATTAACTAAAAGGAATATTTCACTCTCAAGTTTTAAAAATATTCTGTGGAGATATTCTAAGGTGAATAATCAAAATTACAATGGTCTAATAAGCACAAGCAATTAATAATGTCTTTGAACATAATATTCAAGAGCTGTTGATACAGAAGATTGGGTTGTTTTTTGTTGTTGTGGTGGTGGTAGTGGTGTTTTTTTTTTTTCTTTTAATCAGAGGTCTGGAATAAGACTGTTTTACTGGACAAAAAAATTAAGGCAATTAGAGGATTTGAGGCATGTGTTGTCTTCAACATGTCTCTTCCACTGGAATCATTACAGATTTCACAGGGGAAAAAAAATAAAGGAAAAATCTTTTAATCAAGCTTTTAAAAAACACGCCTTTAAAAAGGACAGGGAATACTTGAATACTTTCTTTTGGACTTTGAATTCAAAGAGGCATTAAAGCCTGCTGCACAGTTCATGATGTAGCTACCTGTGGGATGAGTGGAGACTGTGTTTGATACAGTAGAATTTCCTTCCTCCTGGTGCTTATAAAGATTAACACAATGGGCTGCGATAAACAGCATCAGGCTCCAGTGCTTTTAAAAATGTAGCAGAGTAAAGCATCTCTCTAATTCATTTCAAGATACTACGTGCCCTTACTCTCACAGAACCACAGAATCACCCGGGTTGGAAGGGACCTCAAGGATCATGTAGTTCCAACCCCCCTGCCTAGCAGGGCCACCAAACACACACATTCAGATCAGGTTGCCCAGGACCCCGTCCAACCTGGCCTTGAACACGTCCAAGGACGGGGCATCCACAACCTCCCTGGGCAGCCCGTTCCAGGGCCTAACCACTCTCCTTGTAAAGAACTCTCCCCTTTGTCTTCTTCCAATGAGGCCCTAAGCCAGGTTGGACAGCTGTGGGCTGTAGTCAGGAGTTGTGTCAAAACTCAGCCTGTATTTAGGGTGTGGAGCGGATAAATGCAAGCAGACCTACTTCCCAGAGAGGGGAAGCACAGTGTCACTATCACACGGCCTTCTCAAGCAGAGGGAAAACATGACAGCAGGTGTCTCGTTTTCCATTCCCTGTCTGGTAGGGCATCTGAACACAAACAACTGTGGCTTAAGCACATCCCCATGCGCAAAGAACGCAACCATGACTCTCCTCGGTATAATGGCAGAGATGGCACTGGTTCCAGTGGCTGCCACTGAATAAATGTTTGCGAACAGTACAGATTGTTTAGATGAGGTGAGAAACACAAAGTGGCCAGGAAAAACCTGGAGGAGAATGTTGAGTTTGGTAAGATGTTTCTCAGATTTTCATATGGAACAGCTGGGGAGATGGAAACAAGAGGCTATTTACATGTTCAGGCCTAATGGGAACAGACGGAGAGGGTACATCTCATGCAGGAATGCTGCCTTGTGCGTACGCCAGGAAACCACTGACTGCTTGCTCACCCAGCAGCAGAGCTAGCGAGGTGATGGGCAGCACGTAGCACAGAGACTCGGAAGCACAGTGACAGAAAGCCAAGGGGGAACGGCTTTGAACTAACAGAAGGGAGAGTTGAGTTAGATGTTAGGCACAAATTCTTTACCGAGAGGATGGTGAGGCGCTGACACAGCTGCCCAGAGAAGCTGTGGTGCCTCATCCCTGGAGAAGCTCAAGGCCAGGTTGGATGGGGCCCTGGGCAGCTGAGCTGGCGGGGGGGTAGCCCTGCCCACGGCACGGGTTGGGGCTGGGCGGGCTTTGGATGTCCTTGCAACCCACAGAGGGAGGTTTACCTTCCACGGCGCACACACACGCCGACACGACACCACTCGGCGTAGCACCGCACTCACTCGCGACAAGCTTTGTCTCCGCACAGCCGCCACTCCCTCCCGTCCCGCCCCGCGAGCCACGCGCTGTCAACTTCCAGCCGCCCCGCCTCCCGCCGCCGCCGCCATGCTTTCCCCGTCGGCCTTCCGCCGGCCCCTCGCCGCCGCCGCCCGCCTCGCCCGAGGCAGTCCTCAGGTACCGGGTGGGGCGGGGGCTGCGGGGCGGCCGGCCGGGCTCCATTTTCCACTCCGGAGCACGGTGCCGAGCGGGCAAGGGCGGGCGGTCAGCAGAGATGGAAGTGCGAGGGGGCGGCGGGGCAGGGCTGGACCGCGGGGTGCGCGGCGCGGTATGGAGAGCTCCTAAGTCGGAGCGCGATGCGCGGCATCGGTGGCGTCCGAAGCCGACACGGGGCCGAGTGCTGCTATTTCCTCATCGCAGACATGGGTGCCATGTCTGTTCGGCTGGGACAGTGAGCGAGCTCCGGGACTCCCGTGAAGCGTTGTGCGAGGAGGAGCTGTGGTGGGGAAGCTGAGCCCCGCGCAGAGCGGGCTGTTCTGCTTCCCCTCTGTCGTCGGCAATTTGTGTTTTCAGTTCTGACCTAAGGCAGTGATTCGAAAACGTTCTGAAGTAGTTAGTCACGCTTCCCTAGCGCTGGTTTAGTCTGACCAAGCGCTGGGCCAAACAGGGCCAGGAGGAGCTTCGTCTCCTTGAATCTGAAGGTAATGAAGGCATATTAAGAGGCAGATTTCAAAGGGCAATCATCAGGATGCCTGGCTTGCTTTTGTACCCAAATGCTGTCATGGTAAGAACACATCCTGCAAATAATGACACTAAGAAAGTTGTGAGATCAGCGCTTATCCCACTCCCATTGCTCTGTTTTGATTTCCTTAGCATCTTTTCTGTGCTGGGGTCTGTCTGTCCCAGCAGTTCTGGGAAGCTCCTGCTTTGGTACAGGGTAATAATTAAACAGTTCATGGGAAAGGTAGAGGGCACATTGTGGTTTGTTGCACTGCCAGAAAGGATTGCAGTGATAATACACACAGGAAGTATTTCCAAAGGAAAAAGTCACAAGATACTCTTGCAGCAGAAGTTTCCAAGCATTCTCAGCCTGTAGTAAAACAACACCTTTTTGTGAAACAAACAGAAACAGTCTAGTAGGGGGGCAGAAGATAGTTTTCTGATTTGAGAATTAGTTCTACTTACTTTTCTTAACATTTTCTTCTAGGTACTCGCATCTCTTGCTACAGGACCCAGACAGAATAATGGCATTTTCTATGAAATTCGCACGTATGATGTTAAGCCATCAAAGATGAAGGAGTTTGTGGAACTGGTTCATAAGTACCTGCACCTCCGCACAGCTCACTCAGAGCTAGTGGGATTCTGGACAGCAGAGCTGGGATCAATGAACAAGGCTGTGCACGTCTGGAAGTATGGTATGCTCAGCACTGCTCAGAGTGTCAGAAGGCAGTACCATGAGTACAAAAGCTGAAAAAATCCCCACCGTAGTGCAATTTTGGTCTGGTGGATTGATTACGGCTGTTCTTGAAAGTGGTCTTTCCTCTGAGCAGGTGTGTAGAATCATAGAATCACCAGTGTTGGAAAAGACCTCCATGATCATCCAGTCCAGCCGTGCACCTACTATTTTCCTCACTAAACCATGTCCCTTAATACAACATCTGAACATTTCTTGAACACCTCCAGGAATAGCAACTCCACCACCTCCCTGCACAGGCCATTCTAGCTCCTGACCACTCTTTCTGAGAAGTTTATCCTGATGTCCACCTTGTATCTCCCCGGCACAACTTGAGGCCATTCCCTCTAGACTTGTCACTAGTTATGTGGGAGAAGAGTTGTAGAGAGCGATAAGGTCTCCCCTGAGCCTTGTCTTGTCCAGACTGAACAAATCCTGTTCCTTTAGTTGCCCGCATAAAACTTGTGCTCCAGAGCCTTCATCAGATTTGTTGCTCTTCTCTGAACATGCTCCAAGGACTCACTGTCTTGTAATGAGGGGCCCAAAATTGAACACTTGAGATTCACCCTCACCAGTGAAGAGCACAGTGGGATGATCACTTCCCCACTCCTGCTAGCTATTTCTACAAGGCAGGAAGCCATTGGCCTTCTTGGCCACACTACTGACTCACGTTCAGCCAGGTGTTGACCAACATGCCCAGGTCCATTTTTTCCACATTCTTCCAGCCACTCTGCCCCAAGCCTGTAGCGTTGCCTGGGGTTCTTGTGGCCAAAGTGCAGGACCTGGCACTTGTTCTTATTGAACTTCATCCCATTGGCCTCAGCCCAGTGATCCAGCCTGTCCCGATCACAATGTAGGGCCTTCCTACCTCAAGGCAGATCAACACTTCCCAGAGACCTGGTGTCATCTGCAAACTTACTGAGGGTGCACTCAATGCCATCACCCAGGTCATCAATAAAGATATTGAACAGGACAGGCCCCAGTACTGATCCCTTAGGAAACACCACTTGTGACCAGTCACCATCTGGCTTTAATTCCATTCACCATCACTCTCTGGGCCCAGCAAAGAGTGTACCTGTCCAAGCCACAAACTGGTCTGGGTAGACTATGTCCCTCATCCACCAAGTGGGTCACTTGATCATAGAAGGAGATCGGGTTGGTCAGGCGGAACCTGCCTTTCATGAACCCATGCTGTCTGGGTTTCATCCCCTGGTTGTTCTGCATGTGCCGTGTGATCTCACTCAAGATGATCTGCACCATAACCTTTCCTGACTGAGGTCAGGCTGACAGGCTTGCAGTTGCCTGGTTTCCCCTTATGACCCTTCTTGTAGATAGGTGTCACAATGGAAAGCCTCCATTCTTCTGAGACCTTCAGTTGACCAGGAATGCCAATTTCTACCAGATGGTAGAAAGCAGCTTGACTGTCATCTTGCCAGCTTCCTCAGCACCCTCAAATGTATTCTCGAGGATCCCTGTGGACTTACAGCAGTTCAGGTGGAGTAGTAGGTCTCTTAACTGCTTCCACCTGAATCATGGGGAGTTTATTCTGCTCCCCATCCCAGACTTCCAGGTCAGGGTAGAGTACCCCAGGGATAATTGGTCTGACTTTTAAAGACAGATGTAAAGAAGGCATTGAGAACTTCAGCTTTTTTCTTATCCTTGTCAGTCACATTCCCTGCTGCATCTGGTAAAGGATGGAGATTCTCCTTAGCCCTGTTACTGTTAATATATTTGTAAAAATGTTTTTTGTTCTCTTTTAGCTCAGTAGCCAAGTTGAGTTCAAGCTGGGCATTTTCCTTTCTAGTTTTCTCCCTGCACATCTTAACAAATTTCTTTGTGCTCTCCCTGATTTGCCCGTCCCTTCTTCCACAGGAGGTAGATTCTCTATTCTGGAGACTCAGGAAAATCTCCCTGTTCATCCACACTGGTGTTCTTCCCTGCTGGCTCATTATATGGCACAGAGGGACAACCTGCTCCTGTGCCTTTAAGACTTCCTTCTTGAAGAGCAACCAGCCTTCCTGGAACCATCTTCTCTTCATGACTGAATCCCAAGGGACCCTCCTTACCACGATCCTGAATAGTTCAAAGTCTGCACCCCAGAAGTCCAAGGTAGAAGTTTTGTTTTCACCCCCACCCCCTGACTCTACCATTTCATGGTCATTCTGCCCAAGGCAGCTCCCAAACTCCTCATCTCTCAGTCTCCCACCAGTCCTTCTCTGTGAACAGCAGATGTAGTGGGACACCGTCCCTGGTAGGCTCTCTTACCAGCTTCTGTACAATCCGGAACCTCCTAGGCTGCTCCTTCTGCACTACGCTGTATTTCCAACATGTATCAGAAAAGTTGAAGTCTCCCAAGAGAACAAGGGCTGGCGATTGCATAACTTCTGCCAGCTGCTTGTAGAACACCTCATCTGTCTCTTCATCCTGGTTAGGAGGTCTGTAACAGACCCCCACTAGGATGTCTGCCTGTTGGCCCTTACCCTGATCCTTATCCATAGAGATTCAACATTATCATTCCTGCTCTCAAGCCAAACAACACTGAAATGCTCTTCTAACATAGAAAGCCAGCATGAGATGAGCTGCATAAGAGTGCTTTGTTTATAGTAGGTTCCTCTCAGGTAGGGCCAGCTCCTGAACAACACATCTTCCGAGTCTCAGAACAGATGGGAAAAGAATTGAGACTTCCTCAATAGGATCACAGAGTTATAAAATCACTTGAGTTGGAAGCGCCATCTAGTTCAACTCCTCTGCAGTTAATATGGACAGCTATACTTGGATCAGGTGCTCAGCTCCCCGCGCAGCCTGACCCTGAGTGTCTCCAGAGATGGGGCATCCACCACCTCTCTGGGAAACCTGTGGCAGTGCCTGATCACTCTTATTGTATAAAAACTTGTTTACAGCCAATATAAATCTTCCCTTTTACTTTAAAACCATTTCCACTTGTCCTATCACAGCAGTCCCTTCTAATGATTCTGTCCCCTTCTTTCTTATATCCTCCCTTTACATTATGCATATGCAAATTGTGTAAGTGCAGATCATATTTATGCAAATGCCTGTGTTTGTTTATATGTATGTATAATCGCTCACAAATTCTAGTACAGCATAGCATCAGCCGTATAAAATAAAACAGCATGCAGTTTGTGTGGTTAAACTCCTGAAGCTACACTGCGCTGAGCTGGAAGGCTGCTCCACAAGTGTGATCATCCCATATGCGTGGAGTGCTGTGTTGCTGCTTCAGCATTGAGAGCAACAGGCTTCTGACACTGTAGTCATCAACTTTCTGAGCTGGAAGGTGCTGCTGAACCATGAAAAAAAAGCTGAGAAAGGGTGTGCTGGCTGTGTTCTCTGAACCCAAGGGTTTATGGAGACATGGGAAGGCACACTCCTGTCATTTCTTTGTGTATCTGTAGGGGGGGCTTACCCGTATACTCAGAACTTTTTTTTACAAAGGTAGCAGTCTGCTCTTTGAAATGAAATACTTTCACAGTGCCTCCTTAAAGTGGTGGCTCATCCTTCTGTCCTCAGGGGGAAGGGAGTTGCTGTGTGCAGACAGGAGTGAGTTTACATGCATCTGTGGTTCA